ATAATATTATAATAACTATTATTGTAATAACTATATTATAATAACTATTATAATAACTATTATAACTATAATATTATAATAACTATTATTGTAATAACTATATTATAATAACTATTATAATAACTATATTATAATAACCATATTGTTATAATAACTATATTATAACTATAATATTATAGTAACTATTATTATAATATTATAGTTATTATAATAACTATATTATAATAACCATATTATTATAATAACTATTGTTATAATAACTATATTATAATAACTCTAATATTATAATAACTGTAATATAATAACTATAATAATCCACTGACTCGTGTTAATAAACAAGAAATCTTATCTTCCTTTCTTTGAAATACGTTTTTAAATCATGTCAAACTAATTTGCTTACAAAAGCAGTAAAAGCTTAATAAAAAAAAAAGTCTTATTTGTTTTTTCGGGTTCGAGCCTGTAATTGCAGTTAATTGGTCGGTTTCGGGTCGGGCTCAGAAAAAATAAAAGGTTCGCGCTGAGCCGGGTCAGATTTTTTAGTCTCGAATGCAACTGTATCGTAAATTAACCTAACGGCTCAAGAACGGCAGCACGATTACAGAATGGGGCTTGTTGCTACAGTTCATCTTTTATTTTTTCTTTTAGAAATGAATGCAGTGACAGAGGAAGACTCTAAAGACAAAAAGTGTTTAAAAACTCTGCAGGAAGGTAACTTATTAAAATAATTTTATTTTATTAGACTTGACCTGAACCAGGCGCTGAGTTTTGCTTTAATTTATTACAGAATTTACAAAAATCACCGAAGCTGTCGCTGACAGGGACAGGTGAGTTTTTATTTTTTTAAGTTTTATAAGACTGTGAGTAAATTACCTGTACTGGCTGTTGGTGTTCTGGTAAATGTTTGAAAAACCTCAGCTGTTTATTTTGTATTATTTTAGACAAATTGCTGAGCTGAAGCTGCAGAAGGAGCAGAATTCAAGTACGCTAAAGAAGCTGAAAACTGAGACGAAGAACCTGCAGAGCAGAATCGACACGCTCCATCTGTCAGTATCTTCTTAGTCAGGAGGTTTTAGTTGCAGCTCGAGACTTCTTCTGTACAAAAAGACGCCAACGTGCCGCGTTTCTTTCGTCAGGTTGAATGAGTGGCGGCTCAGAGACACGGTGGACGACTGTACGACCTACACTTTTCTTCACAACACCCTGCTCCTGCAGCTGACGTTTGAAAAGCTCCATGGTAGGATTTTCTGTTTGTCTCGCGCTCTTTGGTTCAACAGAAGTGTCTTTAACGTTTGGACCGATCTGCACCTCAGGGCACTTTCGTTACGGTCGTGTCTCTCTGGGCTGTGACGGTGAACAGGATTTGTAATGGACTCTCTGAAGCGTTTTGAAACGTGCGCTGTGGTTCAGTTTCCTCGGAGGCTCGCAAACTTGTCGCTGGAGATGTGAGCATGTTCAAAATATTGTTGCAACTAAGGGTGGCCCGATTCCGGTTTTTATCAAACAGAGTACGAGTACCGTATTCTCCGCCGTACATGTCGCGCCACCCTCCCCCTATTGGGGGAGTGGTGGCGCAGAGGTTAGAGAGGTGGGCTTGTGATCCGAAGATCGCCGGTTCACGCCCCGGCCCCGACAACATCAAAATTGTGGGTGGGGTAGGTGAAACACCCACACTTGCCCCCACCCTCATTCGCCCCACTCTGGGCCAATGAGCAAGGCCCTTAACCCCCACCATGTGCTCCCTAAACAGGTCTCTCTTGAAAATGAGTTCTCGTGGCTCAATGAGACTACCTGGATAAATAAAGGCTAAATGAAAAAAAAAAAAAAAAAGTGGAAAAATCCATAAATAAGTCGCATCTATTACGTCACCGCTGACGATCCAGAAACGTGGGCCGGTGTTTTGCCAAAAATCGATTGGCTGCCAAATGGCAGCCGTGGGAGCGTGCACGGGAGGACTTTAACAAGAATTTAACAAGATTAACACTTAAAAACAATTATTTGTTTGCTCAAAATTATAGTAAAGGTGCGTCTCAGTTGAACTTTTACTTAATTAATGCACTTTGATAGTCAAATTAGCTGCATTTCAACAGGGCGGCGCAGCGAAATGAAGCTGAATTGACGGTTGCTCCAGGCGAGCTGGATGAAGGTGGCAGGCTATGGCAAGCTGATTGTGTCATTAATAACCACTTTTCCCTATTACATGACACAACGGCATGCCGTACTACTCGGGTGCCATCTAGCGGCTGAAAACGGTAGTGTTCAATATTTTCAATGTCTGAATGAAAACGCTCACATCTCAGCCATAAATTGGTTTATAAATATGGGGAAAATCCATAAATAATTCGCTTGAGTGTATAAGTCGCAGGGCATGCAGATTATGCAACAAAATAAAAGCAATTTATAGGCCGAAAATTATGGTGCTTGTGTTGAAACTGCTGTTATTCACCCCTCCTTGACAGTTGACCTGAGCACAGCAGACAATCTACTTTTTTAACATCATCTGTGGTTATCTTAAAATATTTCCAAACTGCAGAGGTGGCTATGAAATGAACATTTCATTGCATTGTTGACCTCCTGCATATGGCAAATAAACAACATAACATGTTCACGGCCAAGAATACAGTTTTGCGAGCCGTGCACTCACCAACGACCTGTAATTTCAAACACTGGCTGCTCAGAACTCGACCACACAACTCAGAGGTCGCAAACTAAAACTTCTGTAAGAATGCAACAGAAAATCTGCAAATCTCACAATTCTGAGTCTCCGACCTCTACAGCTAGTTCCTGCTTTACACCCCTTCCCTAACGTTAATAATGGCACACCCCCCTTTAACATCTTTTAAAATCTTTTCTTGTTTTTGAAGGGAACGATGCTGGCAGCGGGTCTGAGAGGAAGATGACAAACGTTTCCTTCAGATTCGATCTCGATGGTGAGAAGAATAAACCTCTAAACCTTAAAGTTCAAACTCAACGGTCCTTTGTGCACGTTTACGGACCATCGGCGCCTGTAATATGTTCGACATGTTTATATCTGGCCTTGTGAATAAATCCTGTTGTCTTGCCAGGCGACAAGTCGCAGTTCCACGCCTGCCTTGTTCACAAACTGGTCTCCCAGCACATCGAGGGCCAGTCGTCCTGGGTGGACAAATACCCAACAAGTAGACACGTTCCGAAGGTGAGGAGGGCCAGCAGAGGCGTTCTGTCTCGTAACGTCTCGTTCACGTTAAGACTCCTCTAAGTTCCATAGATTTGAGGTTTAACGGTCTGTTTATAGGAGCGCATTAACGAGACGCGTCTGACAAACGGAGAAGAATAACTCTGTCAGTTAGACGAGATGTTTCAGCAGAACTCTTTGTGTTTCCGTTCAGCTGCTCCACGACGTGAGCCTCGTGGTGAGTCCCTTCCGTCTGCTCGGAGAGGAGCTGCGTCTGCTGAAAACGTGGGGAGCTCTTCGATTTGATATCCTCGATATCGGCCGCAGGGAGACTGAGTAAGCAGGAACAGTATTGTTTGCTACTGTTTTTATTGTGGAGTTGGTGAAAAGGCTGGGCTTCTCTAAAGGTAACGCTCGCAGGAATTACTGTAACTATAACTAGTATGAAGGTGGCACTCTGTGGGCTCTGGAGAGACTGTAGGTCGACACGGTTGGCCACAGGAAGTGTCAATCAAAAGGGGAGGATCTACACAGCCATTTTGACATCACATAAATTTTAATCCCCTAGCACAGGGGCGTCCAATGTGCGGTCCGAGGGCCGTTTGCGGCCCTTGGAGTGATTTTCTGCGGCCCTCGACTACAATTAAGGAATGTAATAATTTTGACCCACAGGCTTAACAGGTGTTTGCAGATTTAGACCTTTAGGTTTAATATGGATACTTTTTAAATATAATTTTTAGGTTTAACAGCAAAAAAATATAAAAAATAATGTTCTCAAAATGAGCTAAATTAAGTACAATACAAATATTTATTATAATTAATCCCTTTATCCTACAACAATCTTCACTGACCTACCAAAAAGTAGAATTTTGGATAATAATTCATAAGAAAATGATGACAGTTGAGTTAATAATAATCAATAGAAATTGGACATTTTTAAAAGAATATAAAGTATCGTCGACATACAAGTTGATCAACTTTATCAGTCCCTTCAAACCTTCTATGAATCTGTTTTAGCGACCGCCAGCTGGACGGTTTTTCAGAACTTCAATTTGGGCCGTCCATGGTTGAAGCTCCACCCCCTATTTTAAAAGTGGGTGGAGCTTATTCTGCCTATGAAAAATAAACAAAAATGAACTTTCAACGTATAACAAGTTGTTAAAAATGAGCAGGAAAAAAAATTACACTTTAAAACTTTTTTTTTTTTTTCTTAAATTCAGATTTTTCTGACCCACGAGTCCTTTCATCAGACAGTTCTGGCCCATCTATGAAAATGTTTGGACAGCCCTGCCCTAGCAGAATCTACAAGGCTCTGGATTCAAATCTGTCACTGAAATGTTGGACTTCTGCTACTTAACGGGTTAAAATGTTTTTTAAAAAATCCAGTTTTGATGACGCTAAATGGGGTTTCTTTCTTCTAACTTTGCCATTTTACTCTGACCTACGGATGTGAATGTGATTGCAAAGCTATAAAAATCTACATTTTATCACGTTAAAATATTCAAGTTTGTTTCGTGTGTATTTTAAAGAATGAAAGTTTGGATTGAATCAGCAGCTAATCTAAGTCTCACCATGAACGTCTCTTCGTCCAGAGTGTACATCGTCTTCAGCTGTCTCAAGAAACTGTCCAAGTTTGAGGTGGTCTTCGCTGTCGGTTTGGAAAACTACCAGTGCGTGTTTCAAGTCCAAAGCTTCAGAAACATATTTGGAAACACAACGTGAGTATGACTAAAGTTTACATCGGCTGCTCAGAACAAACTTAAACTCCAGTGTCGTGTCTCACTGGGCTGAATTTGACGAGTTGGCGACTCCAAACGACGCATTTCCAGTTTCCAGGTGCAAAGCTGGAATTTTGTCTGCGCACAATTTTTTTCTGTTTCCCGCCTGCAAAACTGGTTCAAGACGCCCGCTGCGGCTCTGTGACCGTTTTCAGAACAAAAATTGTTGCTCAAGGTCGGTTTAACGAACCCACTCCGTGTTTCAAGTCCAAACATGGACTCGCTCAAAACTCAAGCGACAAGATGGAGAGACTCGGAAACTGAGGATCCAGCGAACGTTGCAACACTTTTCGTTTGTCAAACCGCTGCAGTGCTGCCAACTCGCTCTCTGTCGGGAGAGAAGCTGTTCTAAAAGTCACCAGATGATATCGTCATTTAATTTGCATCATTTTACAGAAGGGATTCGTGTCTTCAAACAGACAGTCAATAAAATCAACCAAAATGCTTTGATTCAAATAAACTGTCTTCTGTTGAGTCTGTTATTTATTTTTATTGTCACAGTTTCAACCTTCATTATTTTGTCCAGAGTTTAGAGCAATGGATTATTTTAAACAGAAAATGTTGCATTTACATGTCGCCAGTGGTGAGTGCACTTCCACTAATGGAACAAATTCAACAAAGTTCAGTTTCTTTCTTTGTTTTTTTAACATTTCATCCTTCATCCAAAGGACTTCATCAGTCCGAGGAGCCACAACAAACTCAGTCCCACGAGCAGCACACTCACGTAGTGGTCCAACTTGTGGGTGAGTGTGCTGCTTGTGGGACTGAGTTTGTTGTGGCTCCTGGGACTGACGAAGTCCTTTGGATTAAGGATGAAATGTCTCAACACACACACACAAAAAAGAAACCGTCCAGATGACCTGACTGAACTTTGTTGGGCGTTTTACCTGGATTGTTGAGCATGAACTTTGATGAAGCAGAACGAATGTTTCATTTAGCAGATTAGTGTTTTTGCTAACTTTAGAAACCGTTAGCAGAGCTTCTGTTAAATTAGGTTTCTTCAACTTTTAAGTTCGCTAACAAAAACCACAAGCTTGCCTGTCTGTTGTGGGCGTGTCTCAGAGTCCGTCAAGCACGCTATTGGCTGACTACATGAGCACGTGACAAGACGTGATTGATCGATGAAGACGTACGGCAAACACTGACAGTGGTCTGGGCTGTTTAGCATTAGCTTTCGCTAATTTGCTTTGTTAGCAAAGCTAACTTTTTGGTTAGCTGTGCCCACCGCTGCATCGCGCCAAGAATCACGGGGGTGGAGGTGGCTCAGTGTGGGGGAGACTGAGCGTTACCTCCATAGTCATAGCTTTTTAGCTAGTGCATCTGTATTACGTGCCACTAGCTTAGCGCTATGTCAGTGCTAGCAGTTGTCTGGAGGGTGGAGGGGGGTTGGGAGTTCTGTAGGCAGGGCACTCGGTTCTGTTGGCAGGACGGGGTGCCCTGCTTCTGTAATAGAAACACTGACACTTGATTATTTTAATATTTGTTCTCTAAGAAGGTCTAAATATTAGACGTAGAACTGGACCTTAATTTATGAAGGATAATTATCTCATTTTGTTTATTTGTGGGAAATGGTAAAGTGAAATTTTGTATGTCTCAATCATCTTATGCATTGTAAAGCCCGGTCCGGGCTGGACCGGCCACAGTCGGCCCGGCCCAGGTCTTCCCCGGCTCTTGTTTCGTTTTATTTATTATTATTTTATTAACCTTTGTTTAATCAGGCGAATCCCGTTGAGATCACGGATCTCTTTTGCAAGGGCGGCCTGGGCCTGAAGCAGCCTAACACGAGCACGAGAAGAACATGCAAACTCCACACAGAAAGATCCCGGGTTCAACCGGGAATTGAACCTCGGGACCTTCTTGCTGTGAGGCAACCGTGCTAACCACTGAGCCATCGTGCTGCCATTTGCTTTCAGCAGCGTTGCCTCGATGTAGGCAGGATCGTTGTAGCAAGACCGCGTGAATCTCAGTGATGGCTGGTCGTTTCACACAACTGGCCAGAAGCAAGTAGCTGAATGAAATGACCGTAAGGATCTGGAAGTTTGACTCATCTGTGACGTGAACCCGGGGCCAGCGATCCAATCGAGGGTCAGCAGTCTGCTGACGCCACATCTGAACCCGGGTCAGGTCTCGCATAAGGGCCAGACTAAATGTGTCTAAAGTAATGAAACAAATGATCATTTCTTTCTTGAAAGATGTATTTTGAGATGAAAACACGTTGATCTGTCGGCAAAAATCTACAAAGTTATAAACAGTTTGAAGATTTTCTTTTAAACCTAAAGACAAAGTTTGACTTTTTCACTTTTGTCTGTTTATAGGATCCAACAGATTGAAGAAATCGTGGCGTCGTCGACTTCAGACACGAAACTCTTCACAAAGATCGTGAAAAAGATTCACGACGCTCTGCTTTGTTGAGACCAGAAGAACCCAAATCACATTTTCTTCCTTGTTTATAATCAAAGTTTGTCATAAAATATAGATGTTAAACTCTTTGCATTGTTTTGGCTTACTTAACAAAAAAAAAAAAACTTTTGTACATAAATCTAACAAGTTAATTCAGGTGTTTTTAAAAAAAAAGCGTACGGTAGTTTATTTTTGGTGTAGGTACAAGATCAGCATTTATAAACAAAACTTTATAAAAGGAAAAATTAAAATTGGTGTAAAAACAACTTATTTTAATAATTTTAGATCCGCTGATAACATTAGTGGTTGGAAACTCCAAACGTCTAAAAGGAAAAATATGAAATTCACAATTTATTCAACTTGTTGTTTGAAACGAGCAAAAAAAAAAAAAGGATTTTTGTCCATTAAAAAAAATATATATTAAAGGAAAATGGTCAACTGAAGCGTTATTTCCTGTACTTTTAGTACGTTCCAAAAATAAATGTAGATATTAAGAAATTATTCACTTTATGAGCCTGAACAACTCGTTTTTTCTGGGTTTTTTTTTTCCAAGATGCAATAAAGATTTCAAATCTATTTTCATCTGGCAGTTTTTCAAAAGCTTTGTATAAAATTGTGAATTTAGTTTAACGTGTTTTTTAATTTTTATAATAGTTTACAAAGACATAAAATGTGTTATTTGGTGGCAATGCAGAATAAAACGCTGCACTTGTTTGGCTGAATTAAGCCTTTAGGGGGCGCTGTAGGCTCATAAATGTGTTTCCAGACAGCAATACTGAAGTTTTGACTTCAGTATTTTATCTCATAAGACCCTTAAAATGGATCAACAAGAATAAAATGGTTGGTTCTCATTAAATTTTAAAATTTCAGTTTGACCAACAACCAAAGAGCAGCTTCATCACCACGCCTAACAAACTCGATAAATACCGCACCACTTTATTTATAGAGCACTTAAAACGGCAACAAGGCCAACCAAAGTGCTGGATAAATGGAAATTATTAACATTACAATTTTATGGATAAATTGATTTGTTTTAGGAGAAAGCAAAACCTGCAAAAAACCAGTTTGTCCCCACTACTCCCACAAACGATGGCTGCTGTTCAGCCAAATAGGGCAGTGACACCTGGGGAGGGGGGTCAGCACAGTTTAATTAGAATCAATC